TTTTCCCAGAGTAATGACCTCAGCCTGCAGGCGTCTCTGCCGAACACTGCCAAACTACATACAGCTGTGTGTGTGTGTGTGTGTGCGTGTATGTGTGTGTGTGTGTGTGTGTGTGTGTGTGTGTGTGTGTGTGTGTGTGTGTGTGTGCACATGTGTACGTAAAAGAGAGGGAAAGAGGGACAGAGGCAGTACAAATAAGTACGTCAAGACAGGAAGATGAAAACACAAGTGACAGAAAATATGTAATAAAGTAAATATGCAATAAAACGTGTGTCAAAAAGAGAGCAAATGCGTGTGTGTGTGTGTGTGAGAGCATAAACACAGAAATTGAGTTGTAACAGCTGCATGGACGTAAATGGGGGAAAATATAGAAAAATTAAATAATGTTAGAATATGTTAAATAAATAGTGAGGGATTGGAAAAAGGAAAAGTGAAGGTAATTGCAAAAACAAGAACAAGGAGGACATGTTGTGCTCGAGGAAATATGGGGAGGTAATGATTTTAAAGAAATAGAATTACTGAAAAGAGTGATAAGGAGAGTTGCATAGCAAACAAAAAGGAAAGTGGTGAATGAATGCATGAGAAGAACTGAAAACGTCTCAAACACAATGGCTTCATTTCAGACATTACATCACTCCTTCCTCTCACTTTATTTTTCCCTCATCTCTTTTTTTCAGCATTTTTATTGAGTCTCTTTCGATTCTTTGGTTCAAGCTTCCTGTTGAAACAGACACACAATATTGGGTCCACATAATCCAGTTTTTGTAACTACAGTATAAAGAACTGTGGACAGATGTTCATAATGTTGTTTACTTTTTATAATCAGTTATTGCTCATTTTAATCATGGCTGTGTTTTGTTTTTGCCCAGAACTTTTACAACAAACCTTTTTACCTTATACTGTATGTCAAAGAAAACTAATCTGAAATGCTGTAAAATGTTTTAAAGAAACTTTGCTTCCCCCTCATATCTGCATAATGTGATTCAAGCGTATAAAATACAAAAAATGTATTCTAGTAAGGCAATAAAAAACGATATATGTTCTTGTAAAGCATAGCTTAAATTAAGAAATACCAATAGAACAGTGCTTGGTTACCCTGCCTTCTGCATTCTGAAACAAGTACTCGTAAACACCACACACATGTCCTCTCTTGTAAAAGTCCTGAGACTGGGAATCATGCGAGTTCGGTCCGTCCCTGGCAATCTTTTGCAGACATTTCCAGCATTTATTGTGTCAAAGAGAGAATATTGATCATGTGTCTATTGGTCATAAGCTTTCCACCTCCATAATAGAGGGGTGATACTTTCTCAATAGGGTTGAGAAATTGAAAGTAAGGTGGAAGGAAAAATGTAACTGTAAACCTCTGTTTGACAGCCGAAGTCACCGGCGGTGTCCCCCAGGGCTCAGTCCTCGGTCCCCTCCTTTTTATCATTTACATCCTTCCCCTCGGACATATCCTTAACCAACATGGCATCCATTTACACTGCTATGCCGATGACTATCAACTTTACCTCTCCTCCAAGACCATCACATTTATAGTGGTTGAAACGTAATGCAATCGCAAGAAGTTAATTGATAACGTAATGCTATAAAATTCAGGGTCGTCCAACTTCACGTCGTAATGTTTGATGTGATGACGTTAAGTAGTCTTATTTAGCTTCTCATTAGCAATCGACATTTTCATGACACATAGAAGCTTCAGACATTCGCTAGTGGGGTATTTACTGGCACATTTTATGTTGTACAACTAAACATGAAAATCTCGTTCAGTCCACATTTGGGGAATCTAACCGAAAACTCATTCAAGAAAACTTTGACTACGGGAAAACTCAAAAGTGCTGAAATGCTGACTAATTTCTGTGTTTCAGGACTTATTCTTGCACCACTCTGAAGCAGTTTAATTTACACTTTTCTGTTGTGTAAATACTACAGTTATAGGTAAACAAGTGTAAAATGGAGTGTAAATACATAGAATACTGATAGTTGAACCCAGATACGTACAAATATTTTCTCTAGTCTGCAGGACTAGGACATATTAGCTCAGCTGCTGAGGGCACACAGCTCAGAGACCCTGATAGCAAGCACCCCGCCCATGGAATAACTTTATATAGAGCTGCTGTGTTTTCACTCTTAATGAGTCTGTTTGTGTATCAGCCAATAACCCAGAGCCTGAATAAACACACACACTGGCCCTAATGACAACACAAGGAGCAATTTATGAGCTTTTGTGTGTGTGTGTTTATAGAGTCCATAAATAAGACTGTTTTTTTAGCACATATCCCTCACTTTATTTTATTCTCTTTTTCCACTGGTTGCATACGTATAAAAACAAGTCAGAAATGTATTTGGATTAACTTCAAGATCAAGCTTTAAAGTAGTTTATACAAATATTAGCCTTAACAAGGAGTTTTACTTGTAATGTTTTTTTGGGCTAAACCACACGGCACTTCATAAAGCTTAATGCCAAATTTGTCTCTGGGGACGTCCAAAGAGCAGCAAAGTGTCTAAAAAGTGCACCACAGAATTAAATCGAAAAGTCGTTTTTCCTAACTTTTAAGCCTTTTTTCTACCACAACTTTAAACTGACATCATGAATCTAAAAACACTGTCGTCTTCTTTCCACTCATGTCAAATCGTTGTGTTTTATCAAAGTTCTATCCAAATTCATTATTAGTGTCCCATTGTCCCCAAATTACATCTTTTAGAGTGATGTTTCAACTACGCAGTAATATTCTTATTTATGTAGAAGACAGGTTAAGCCCAAAAAGTTGGAGCCCAAAATGTGATAATGAAGACCCGTGACTTCGGTATATTGTTATACAAATATATAGAAATGAAGATGAAAATATAAATAATAGGAATAAGAAAACAGTTAAAGGTGGGGTAGGTAAGTTTGAGAAACCGGCTCGAGATACACTTTTTGTTATATTCCATGGAATGCTCTTAACATCCCGATAGCAATGAATATATTAAGTGCTTTGACAAAAAATCCATAATAAAATGTCATCTGTGGAAGCTGTAATACTGTAAAAAGCACGACCAATCATTTTAGCCGGCCCGGCTAAAATAACTGGATGGCCTACCTGCCTGTCAGCCTTCCATCTGTGCACAAACTTATCTCGTGCCCTCATTGGTCATGTGCGCGTTCGTGTGTGTTGGAGGAGGGGCTCTGTAAGGAAGTGGCATATTTTTTCCGGTTGTGTATTTTCAAATTCTAGCGCACTCGAGCTGGTTTCTCCAAAATGACATACCCCACCTTTAAAATAAATCCCCGCTCTACCACTATGGGTCTCTCAGCAATGGAGAGAAAGTCTCTGTTTATTTCAATAAATACATTTAATTGATGATAAAAAAATATTTAATTATTAATTATAAATTCATGGTTACATTTATAGCCACGTTGTTGTTTTTGTTTTGAGAAAGATAAAGGCGCAAAGAGAGAGAGAGAGGTATAATTAATATTCCAAAATTATTGTTATGTTTATAATTGATAGTATTGGATAGTCCAATACTGCAAATTGAGACGAGAGAGACAGCTGGACAGATATGCGTGAGAACAAGATAATCTCTGTGGGAGCTGGCCAGTGCCCACACACACACACACACACACACACACACACACACACACACACACACACACACACACACACACACACACACACACACACACACACACCACACACACACACACACACACACACACACACACACACACACACACACACACACACACACACACACACACACACACACACACACACACCCCACTGTACCACAGGTGTTCTCCATTTAGAAAACATCACTTCAAAGTACTTTAACAAAGACCAGAGAGAGGGGGGGCAATGCTATGCTTTTGAACTACTGGAGTTAGAACAGTAAAGCTACTGTTAGCGCCCCCTACAGGACACACCGTTAGTTACAACTGCAACACAATACTGTTGGACAGACACACATCTAAATGTCCCTTCAGGATACTGGACGTCACAGATTTTTCACAGAGAGAGAGGTTTTGAAGAGTGTATTGGTTTGCATGTCCGAACATCTGGTGTGTGTGTGTGTGTGTGTGTGTGTGTGTGTGTGTGTGTGTGTGTGTGTGTGTGTGTGTGTGTGTGTGTGTGTGTGTGTGTGTGTGTGTGTGTGTGTGTGTGTGTGTGTGTGTAAATATGCTCAAAGCACAAATAAACATAGTAAGTTTGACTGAACTCTCTCTCTCTCTCTCACCCTCCTACATCTCCTTATGTCACACAGCTGCTTGGTTCTTTATGTTTATTGTTTCAAGTTGACAGAAAAATATCCCAAACTAAATATGGAAAACATTACTGCCGTCTGTCTGACTATATCATTGTAATTCTTCCCTCCTCTTGTTCCCTATTCTTTCCTTTATTTAGCCCTCTATCTTTTTTCCCATTCCTCTAACCTCCTTCCCTTCTCTTTCTTAACTCACCCCTTCTCTCTTTACTCCTCCGTCTCTCTTGGTTGATTTTACACTGTAAGCCATATTCAATTGCCAACAACAAAAACAGTTTTAAAGTATCTTGTTTTTTTGGCTGTGGGAAGACATAATAGTGTGTTCAAACCAAACGAAAAGCACATTTTTTTTTTGCATCTAGATTAACACAGTCAACTCAAAAATGCAAATTCACATCATTCGAAATTTCCATTGCAACAAAAATGTTAGCGTGACAAAAGAAAAAAAAGTTTCAAACAAAGCAAATCATATTTTTCAAATAAATGATTCCTGCCATGTTGTCTATTTTGCATCCTGTCTTTTCCATGTATTGTTGCAAGCCTGACTGATTTCTAACAATATATATTTGGATATTCAGACATTCAGCACTACAATATCTTCAAAGACGATTCAAATATTTCCTTTGTGTATGGTCTTACTTGATAAAAGTGCCATATTGACAGTGAGGACTGTTATATAGGAGGTTAATGCAACTCCTATCATCATGTTTCCATTCATTCCCACAGAACACCAGCATGCTCTCAGCTCCTACCATGAGGTGTCTGTTGGCCGACAGCAGTCCTGGCCCGTATCCGCTGTTCAGAGCTCCCATGGCGCCGTTGTGCGTGTGTGCGGCGCTGGTGAGGTTGTGCATTTCTCCGTGCCCGCTCGGCATGCCCGTCGACGGCCCCACCGCGTGACTCCGCAGGACGTGGATGGCATCGTCCAAACGCTCCAGGCGGTCCTCGATACGACTTTGCTTCAGAGTGAAAGAACACAGAAAGAATTATGAGATTTACTCTCACGCTTCCTTTCTTATCTTCGTCCCTATACTTTGAATAAACATCCAACTATCCCCAAAGTTCTGGGCAAGTCATCATGATCTCTGTGTTTCACTAGAAGCTTTACAGAGATGATGCTTTACCTGTTTTAATAACCAAAGTCAGACAAAATACATTGGACAGTTGGCAGAGACTCTTTTGTGAGTTACGCTACATCAGCTGAACTTTCAGAGAAATCTCAAACTCACTAAATTATAGTTATATGGATTTTCTTAAAGTGGACCTATCATGCTATATTTGAATAATATAGTGTAGGACCATACCTATACAGTATAAGGCATATTTATACTTTTTTTTTTTCAAAATACCAAACAGATCATGCATTTTAGCCATGCCTCATTTTGCTCAATTTGACCATTTCTAGCTCTGTTTTTGGAGGGGCAGATTCAGTGAGAACAGCACCATCTACTGGCCTGGCATATGTACTACAGCGTCTCCAGCGCTTTCGAACGGCAATGGCCGTGGCGGTCTCCTCCTGATTGGTGGAGTTGGCCCAATAGCCGTAGCGCCACCGTCCTGACGTCAGGACAGTGTTCAAATCTGGATCAGTTTTTATCAGATCTGTTGCAGCCCCTTTTTTAGAGATTTGGGTATGGAGGAAAATAGAGAGGGTTGTGTTTTCTGACACTTGGTGAGTTCCCTGGAACACTGGGGACACATATTCATGTATAAAAGACGTACAAAAGTGCATTTTGCATGATAGGTCCCCTTTAAGTATACTGTATAGTTTGAATTTAGTGACTGAAAAAAGTCGACCAACTGACCATCTGAGTGTCAAAATGGTGGGAAAATGGGGTTATGAAGCAAAGGATCATTCAATGTACCTATTGTACGATCATAATGTGTATAGATTTCCCTTGAATTTTGATGGAAAATACTGTAATGAGCTCATTCAGAGATACAGAAGTGTGTGTGATAACGTAGATAACGAATGTGACGATGAGGGAGTGTCTGTTGGCCGACAGATTTAGCCTCTAGGGAGATCATGTATTTATTTATTGTGTGTATGTCATACCAGGGAGTGCAGTGGAGCAGCCTCGTAGTTTGGCGATGATGCTCCCTGTCCGCCATTCCTCGACCATACAGCTGAACTGGCAGCTAGGAGAGAGGAGACAAGGAGACATGATCAGAAGTGAAAAGTAAAAGCAAAAATGCATGACAGGATGCAAACATTTTAGATATCAGCAAAAGATGTTGGAGTTGGACACTAAAACTGATATCCCTTCATTTCTTCTGTGATGGACAGCTAAACGGTTCTTGGTAAGACCCGCCTCTCGCCCAAAGCATGCTGGGATAGGCTACATGGGTGCTGCTTGTGTAGAGAAAATGAACGGCTGTCTGCTTTTTTGGATTAACCTCTTATCCTTTTCCTATCTGGCAAAAAGAAAGCACTCAATGCTGCACCAAACAGAGGACAAAACATCCTCTCACACGAGGAGCGCTTCATCCGAACCACTCGCGGAGCTCGGACATAATAAACTGAGAGATGAGGAAGAAAGGACAAAAACAAACCAATTCATATCTCCGAGCAGAAATGCTAATATCAGGCTTTTGTTTTTTGAAAGGGTACAAGTGGTTGATTAGCATGGGCCCTCTGCAGAATAAACAAGCTTTGTTTCTCTGTTCTTTCCTGCTTTTGTGTTTGCCGTCGCTCTGAAGGGTCGAATCTGAATCGACAGGTCTCATTAGCTGGTAGACAGAGGAGGCACAATGACTTGTGTAAATTAACATTAATATGAGGTTCTGAGCAGGGTCTGGGCTCCAGATGTGACTCAAGCTTTAAACAGTTTACCCATATCACTACAAACACGTTTCACCCATCTTAGTTGTATCTAGCCATGTAGATAGTTTTCGTTTAATGTCTTGTTTATTTACCACTCTGAAACTCTTGTGGTGAATGTAGCTTCATTTTTGGTCACTTGAAAAACTAGAAAGCAAAAGAAATATCCCAATGACTTACAGTATAGTAACTCCTCAGAATGCACTAAATAGTGTTTATCGGAACTCCTTTCCAACCGGAAAATAGTATTAATGTTGTTCTAAGTAAAGCCCATTTCTATTGATGTGGGAACTCAACGTTGACCAAATCCAAAAGAAGTTTCAAACCACAAGAAAACCTATTAAACTCCATTGTATTGGTGTGGAAAAGAGATTTAAGAAACAGATATGTTTTAACTAGGACAAATAAAACCAAACTATCAGCATTGATTAAAGCAGCAAATCCACACCAGAAAGTGGAACATTGCAATTCATCTGAAACACAGCCCACAGTGACACATTTTTTAAGTCAGGTGTAAGGAAGTGTTCATGTCCAATGGGTTCTGTCCAATTAGTCCACATTCTGGTAAGAGAGAGGACCCCATATATACTGTCCATAGAGGAGAATTGGTTCTATGACGTCTAGATTCGATCTGAAATTCGAAAGATAATGCTACTTATATTGCATATAATGTGCTTTCTCAATCAGATAATTTATTGCTGGGTTAGAACTTCCAGTAGAACTTGTTTTCATTCCTAAATGGTTGTATTTTTGTGCTTGTTTCGTGTTTCTCTATAGGATGAAGCCCAAATCATTCATGTAGATATTGAATTGATCAGGAAACAAGACATCTTTAACATAAAACCAAAACATTCAGCATGGATAGAACGTGTACAAATCCACAACAGTGCAATTTATATACACAACTATGTAATCAAAATGTTAACTGGAAGTAAATAAAAGACAGCCCATTGAGGGACATACTTATCCAGTCAGGTGACAGACTTGTTCATGTTGCTGTCCTATAGTAGCTTTGCTCTTTTATTGTGTCATGTTATCTTTACTCTTCCTCCGTCATCATATCACAATCACTTGTCTTTCCTTTGCCTTTCAACATAGCCACTCTTTGAGTCCTTCCTATTTTTGCATCCTTTTCCTACTCTTCTTTCCCTCCGTTTCCTCTTCTTTCTTTATCCCTATCCTTCCGTCTCCTCTCCTCCTTCCTACCTTAGTTTCCCCTCCTTATTCCCCATCTCACCTCCTCTGTGCCCCCACCACTGATCCCTCCTTTGTAACTCTGATCTCATCTCATTAGCTTGTGTTTCTCCCCCTTTTTTCCGAATTGTCTTCCCATTTTGTCTCGCAGTCTATTCTCTCCCCTCTCCTCCATTCATATTACATGCTCATTTCCATATGCTAATTAATGAGTAATCACCTGGGTACATTCATGTGCAAATACAAATATATGTATTAAACGGCAGGGTAAATTATTCCAAGTCCAACCCTGTAAAACACCCTGGTAGAATTAGCCTTGTATATCAATTTGCATGTAGTTTGCTCTAATAGGCTTCATTTATAATTTGTAAAAAGTGGAGTAACTCTGACACAATGATAAACACCAATTATGGTTTCACAGGCAATATCCGAGGCAGCTATAATGACGAGGAGGAGGAGGAGGAAGAGGGGGGGGGGGGCTGGTGTTCTGGGAGCCGGTAGGTTTGTGAACGATTTGTCGGAGTGGTGCTCGTAATTAAAGCTATCAGTCACCAGGCGCGGAAATATCAAACGGTGTGTGTCGCAGCGACAATTAGTGACAAATTCGACACAACTATTATTAGGAAAAGTCATTTTTCACGTTAAGGAGCGGGGAGAGTTTACAACATCAGCCGCGAGGAGGCCTAATTTGTGGAAATAAGAGTAGAAGGGGGGGGGGTGGTAGAGGACACACAGGGATTATGAATGTGTTTTTATGGTCCTGTTTTACGCCCAAGTGATTACACTTAAGAAGCAGTGATGCCTAAATTAAGAGCTTTAGGTAAATGTGTTGTTTTTAGTCGGTTTATATGTTTTACTACCATTTCTTACACTGCTACTTCCCAGAGCTGTATTTAAGTCAATTGAATTAGGATCATATCAAGAATAAAATCATTTGAACATGTTAAACTTTAGTTTCCAGTCTTGTGAAACAAGTTCAAGTCAAGTTTCAAGTCAATAGAAACACATTTTAAGTCTTGTTGCTATTGTCATTTGAAACAATTCATTGTTAGTCTCAAGTCATTTAAAACCAACTTCTAGTGTAGGTTGCATTCACAAGTCATTTCAAACAAATGTAAGTCTAGTCGCTGGTCATTTCAAACAATTTCCATTAAAGTCTCAAGTCATTTGAAACAAGTGTCAGTCTTGTTGTAAGTCATTTGTGACAAGTTCAAGTCACTCGAAACAATGTCCATGTAAGTTGAAAATCATCCTAGACAAGATCAACTCATGTGAAAAGTAATTTGCAACAAGTTCAAGTCATGTCTCACGCAATTGGAAACAAGTCCAAGTCAAGTGTAAAGTCATTTAAAACAAGTGTAAGACTGTGAGGACTGTGAGTGTGATGTGATACCTGTGAGGGAGGGCGGGGAGCCGACTGGTGTGGAGGGATTGGACGAGTAGCTGTTGTTCGTGTGGTCCGGAGAGTAGATCTGAAAACATAAAAAAAACGTTTAAAAAGAGTCTGCAACTCTGAAAGGCACAACAAATATTAAAAAGACAAAATGCAATAGTTTTAAAATGGAGAAACATTATAAAGCCATGTTGCATTTATGACACGTGTAATTCGGCTGATATTTGACATGTGTATTTAGGCCTATGTTTACATGTGTGTTGGTGTGTTTCACTTACAGATGCGAGTGCTTTCCCTAAGGCGTCTCCTGTCTGAGAGCTGATGGCTGCTGCGTTCGGCGCTCTGTTAGCTGTGACACACACACGGGAACACAGAGACACAATCTTGTAAATAAGGATGTTATTTTGTAGAATTTTTAATTATTCTGTCAAATTCTGTCACACTCAAAAAGCAACACATATTTATTAAAACTGAAAGGTTTATGCTATTTGTACCGAAACATCCCAGTATGAAGTAATAGCCTATTTCATGGCTGGAAATCTCTACACATGTAGATTAATGAATGAAATGCAGAACTCGCGTAAATAGCTAAACGGTTAGCTCTTAGCTATATGCTGAGGTTAGTTCATTCATCCTCCTATGGTGTACAAGTTTGAGCATTAGACATTTCAGTTTTAAAGCCTTTTGTGACCTGTTGCCTTTTGAGAATATGCTCGTAATACAGAGGTGTTTGAAAAATGTATTATTTGTCTAACAAAACTGTTTACCATAGTTACAAGTGGGCAAAAACACAACAAAATATGTGAAATCAACACGATTTTATTTTACACTAGACCATGACTAAATTGAACCAAAACAGCATTTGTAACCTATATTCTTCTGTAGGGTTAGCCAATCATTTAAGATGGTGAAAACTGCACAGCACATCACCAGGACGGAGCTGACATCCATGGAGGACCTTTACTCCCAGCGGCTCAGGAAGAAAGCCCTCAGGATTATCAGAGACCCCCATCACCCCAGCTACAAACTGTTCTGTCTGCTGCCGTCTGGCAGGCGGTACCGCAGCATCCGGACTAAAACCACCAGACTCAGGGACAGCTTCATCCCATTAATCTGGCTGCAACTTAGAAATTATTGATCTAATATATCATATTCCAATAACTTATATATAGACTTTTATTGCACTATTCCACTTTTTTACTATTTTTCTTTTTGTATTTACTTGCACTATATTTTTTATGTGTATCTGTTTTATTGTGTTGCTCTGTTGGAGACCTAAGCTTTTCATCGTCATAACTACACTGTAGCTATGTTCATATGACCCATAAAAGCCTTGAACCTTGAAACATTTTTGATACTAAATATCCTGGTTTCTTCTTTTCTGAGGTCACATTGTTTTGTTGACGGCAAGTAAAAAGAAAACTGTGTTTATAGTGTGATATTTAGTTTAGGATACTGATTCAATATTTGACCATGTAACTAGTAATTGTAGCATTTCAAAAGTAACCCAAACCTGCTCATATGTACTGTTTTAAGAATATTTATTATTTTGATGAATAAATTGGTCTTCTTTTTTACAAAAACCGTGTTGTCGTTGTGTGCCGTTTCTTTTTTATTCATTTTTGTATCTAAACTGCAGGCAATCAAGTATTAGTGTAATTTCTGTATGCATGGGAACGGACGGTGCGTTTAGATGAATTCAAAAGACTTAAAAATACCTACTGTAATTCTACTATAAACACCTGTTTGCAGACCATGATTAGTCTCTAAATGTTATACTTTGGCAGGTCAAAGTTATACAATTTGATGGTGTGCTGACCCTTCCTAAATAATTACAGAACTATAACAGAGTTCAATAGGAACCGACACTCAACATCTACATTTGTTCGCATTCTAACTGACTGACAGCATGTGTTTGTGTGTGCAAATGTTGGACCTCGACACAACTAAATCTGTTTCACACACTTGAAGAGCACTGAGGCCAAAGAGGAAGGAAGTGACCTCACAGGACCAGATGAGCGCCCACACACACACATATACACACACACACACACACACACACACACACACACACACACACACACACACACACACACACACACACACACACACACACACACACACACACACACACACACACACACACACACACACACTCGGAGGCAGAGAGACTCATCTCTCCTGATAGCAGATCCCAGATGGAAAGTTTACGCTCGCACACACAAGTTAGACACGTCCACGCCACACACACACACACACACACACACAGCGAAAAACATCCTTTCATGGCAAATGAATCCATTACAGAAATTGGCAGGACCGGACTGCTGTTAGGGAGAAACAGAGATAGAAAGAGGGGGAGGAGGGGAGATACAGGGATGAAGATGGAGAGAGAGACAGGAAGCAGCATATGTTTTGGGGTTAAAGCCTCATGTCTCACTCACGCCATACCACTGGCCTAGTAAACCATCCAAGGGATTACTGACACACACACGCACACGCACGCACACGCACACACACACACACACACACACACACACACCACACACACACACACACACACACACACACACACACACACACACACACACACACACACACACACACACACACACACACACACACACACACACACAAGCTTGTATCCGGACTCTACTCTATAATTTAGAACATATGCAGGAGAACATCTTTTTCATAAATGAAAGCTTATAGCAGCAGAAGAGGAGAGCATCCCGAAGATGAAAGTGATTTTGCGAGTTATTTCTGTCTGTGTCCATCACCAACCAGAAACTTATATAACCATTTTAGAATCACATTATTATGAAATATGTTACTTCGCTCTTTCTTTCTTGGCATAATCGAATACATGATTGCTTTGTATTTGTTCCACGCTTCAAAATGACAGTTGCATCTGCCCTGCGGATCCTTTGCCGTGTGCCACATCCATATCACATATTACTTGTATACACTGCATACTACTGTATTCATTAGATTTGATAACATACACGTCTGCAGTTAGTTTACAAAAAATCTATGTTCTTTAAACTGAGAATAAACATTTAGATAACCCATTTTTTTTTGTATTCACATGCAGGTTCATTATAATATCCATCTATTTCAACAGCACCTCAAAATATCCACATTTGTTAGGATGCATCTGATGTAGCAGTGTTCAGTGTGGATTCATTTAATTTACAATACAAACTAATGGTCGCAGTGGAAAATATAAAATATAAAATAATGAAGATGTCCACTGAACAGTTACTGTCGTTATCATTATTACTTGTGTGGTTAGTAACTCATCAGAAAACAATGACCACACTTTCCTAAAACCCAAGGTAACTTCTTTAGACGTTAGTTCAAAACCCAGAGACATTTTATCTACTATACCAAAAACAAAAACAAGGAAACACAATTAATCGATTATCAAAATAGTACATTTTCTGCCAATTCTCTAATAAATGAACCTGCAGCTCTACACTGAAGCTTTGCCTATGACTCCTGTACCAACTCCTCTCCAGTGTGTTCCAGTTCTTAATCTAATCATAATATAGACCTGACCCACGTACATTCAGGCTGTGCCACCCAATGCTCATCATCGAGAGCTGACTGTACCAATGTGACGCTTTGTTGATGGAAGATTATATTTCCAGTGCTAGAATCAATTGTATCTGACCACAGCTGCTACTCTCTACAAAGAGAACGTACCCACTTGTTTACTCGTGCAAATCAGCCGGATGCAGAGAATCGCCTGTAAACACTGCGCGGCGGCGTTTAAGCGTTCATGTGTGCACACACGTATCATGAGTTTACATTTAAACGACAGCATCATGTTTTTTTCATTAGCTTCATGTTGTGTTTACACTCATATGCTCCGACTCGTGTGTGTGTGTGTGTGTGTGTGTGTGTGTGTGTGTGTGTGTGTGTGTGTGTGTGTTCATTCTTTCTGGAATGTTGGAGATGTCTTCCAATGAAAACAAACTTTCAATCTGTTTCTTATTGCTGTTCCATTTGTTCTATGCGACTCGAAGCAAGGGGTCCATACGGCATGCTGTGTGTGTTTGTGTGTGTGCTTTTGTCAGAAAAGTTCAGTTTGAGCCAGAATGGGAAGTACAGTTCCTAAAGTTTAGTTGTTAAGTGGTTTCGATCAATCTGAGTCTAATCCCAGCAGGGATTTTATAACTGGAAACGTTGTGGTAAGTTAACATGTGGCCTCCTGACTAGAAAGGATCGTTAGTGTTGCGTTTAAAGTAGTAACTGCGAGAAGACATGCAACAGAAGCTTGTGTTAGACACAGACCTTATGTCAGGAACTGCTCAAATGTGCAGAACTTTTTCCTGGCGTGAAATAAGCACGTTTCCACCAACTTGCTAAAAGCGACCCAAGTCAGTAAGATTCATCCTCTGGGAACCATGAATGTTGGTGCAAAAATTCACCATTAGTGTTATTATTATAATATATGTGACATGTATGTAGTAACGTGTGCGGTTTGCATTTTATTGTTCTCTTTTATCCTTTCGCCTGTATCTACCTGTCTTTCATCCTTTCTTTATAACTAATACTGTTGGAGGCGTGTGGTGCAGTGGGATGTGCGTTGGTGTTCGGATCAGGGGGTCACAGGTTCAAACCCCACTGCAGTCAGCATGTCGTTGTGTCCCTGGGCAAGACGCTTCTCCCCAAAATTGCTCCTGTGGGGATTGCCCACAGTACTGAGTTTGTAAGTCACTTTGGATAAAAGCATCTAACAAGTGACATGTAATGTTTTGTGATTTAAAAAATATGTCTATTATCATCTGGCCAGGGACAACAGCTGGAAATGAGCAATGTCTGCTAAAGCTGCCCCAATTACAGTTGATCAATGGGGACTGTCCACGACACTATAAACAAATAAACTAAACTAAACTAAATATGTTGAGGTATCTGATTTCATAAATTAGGTGTGTTAGAGTAGTGGGCTAAACCATGGGATGACTGTTAATGATACAGTATTCATTTCAAGACGTGAAAACCAACAGGTGTCTTACCCATGATGCTTTCTGTGCCGTTGGTGGAAGCGGTGCACGAGGCGGTGCTGTAGTGATTCCCCCCGCCCCCCCCTCCTCCTTCCCCTCCCCCTCGGTGGAAGCTGGACATCGGAGGAAGGCTGGAGTTGATATCTGCAGACGAGTGCGACGGGTAACTCTGCAAAAAGAAAAACAGAACAAAATTAAGCTTCTAAAAAATATATATATATTGCAAAACAGCACAGAATACATGAAAAGATAATAAACAGTGCATTTGTACATGTCATTTAGCATGTAACATGATAATGACTACAGATAGAGTCACCAGACGTGTGTTGCTTGTAAATGTATTAATTTACCCAGCTTTAATATTAACTTTTGAATTTATTCATAAAAAGGTGATCAAATACAGTGAATATGTCTCCTAGAAAAAACACTTTTATATCACACTGGCTATGATCATTGATTTAATTCGTTTAATTATTATGTTTTAGGCATACATTTGATCCCCAAAAGCCTTTGGAATAAGCTAGCTTTCCTTGAAGCAGGACAATTTACTCAACACACTTAATATCTTAAAAACAACAAAGGATAATTAAAAAGTGTATGTACATTATCTGTATTACATTTCATCTTTGGACAGACTTCCTGAAAGTAAAGCATCACCTGTGTCACGCCCTGTACAGACTCCCTGTGATTGACAGCCCTGCTCACCAATCTGTCGTGAGGGTGAATCCCGCAGTAGGAGGAGCTCTGGGAGGGGCCGTGGGCTGAGTTCCCGCCCCCCAGCATGCTGCCATGGTAACCCTGCTGGGGCATACTGCTACTGCTGCTGCTCCAGGGGTCGCCGCTGTGGTGACCGTCTGACAGAGAGACAGAGAGGGAGAGAGAGAGAGAGAGAGATGTTCATGTCATATTTGTATTTTGCCCTTTGAGGCACTTCTTGTGATTTGGGGCTATAATACATTTGGATTTGATTTGATTTTGATGTCATGTGCTGCATTCTGGTCTGAGATCAGTCTATGAGAAGGTGAAGTCATACTGAGGTTTCTATCTGCTGTCAAACCACTCTGTGCCTCAGTGTGTGCGACAACATGCAGTTTGGTGACCTGACCCACTTTATGCTGTAACCTGGTTTCAAAAAACATGATTTTAGGAACCATCTCTGTTTTTCTTATTCAGGTTAGATAATAACTTGGTTACCACTAACTTTTATCACTTCCTTTAAAAACACACTTGATGGTTTGTGACATGAAACCCACCCGTGAGAAAACTGACAGTCTCAAATAAGTCTGAGAACTTACTGTTTGTGTTCATAGACATAGACTGTAAACACTCGCCTGCAGTCAAATGTATGTCATGAATACACGAACAGCCATTACATATTATATTCACTTCTATTAAAACTTGTTTTATCCTGGACTACGGTCGCAGTACATAAATTAAGTAAGTACGTTAAGGTACATATACTAAAATTAATCCTTGGTGAAAACCTGAATTCCATTAAATAATGCTTTATGGTCCCTCTATTTGACTCTGTTAGGTTGGCAATCACTCAAATGTTTCCTAGTGTGTGTTAAACTCTCTTGTTTTGTTAGTCCATGTATTTAGCAATGTTTGCAGCAAGAAGAAGTTTAACAATTCATTGTTTATTGAAATAGTGGATTAGTTGTCTCTCTATCCAATAAACTAACACATTTACAACTAATCATTGCAGCTTTAGTTCAAAGAGTCTCAAAGTTTGCAAGCCACATGTTTTTACTGCCCTGTTCAGCAAAAGATGAATACAATATATTGGTATTTGGTAAATAACACATCAAATGTCTGACTGAAAGCTTTTGAAGATTGTGGTAAAAGAAAGAATTTCACACCGTCTGTGATCCAGTTTTCACAATGAACTCAGAAATCCACTGCAGGAAGTTTTTATGAAGGATAAATATGTGTGTGTGTTGGTTTGTTTGTTTTTAATCACTTGTGAGGACCACATTTAGAGAAACAACCTGTTCTGTGGGGACACTTGGGGACAGAATGCTGAAATGGCCTCCTGGTGGTCATGCTGTGCAATATTCCTCTTAAAAATAGTAAATATGGAAGTGTGTGTGTGTGTGTGTGTGTGTGTGTGTGTGTGTGTGTGTGTGTGTGTGTGTGTGTGTGTATAAGTACCTGGCATGAAGAATGAGCTTGGGAAGCCAGCGCTGGGTGGTTTGGAGGAGGGATAACCCGGTGAGTCTCTGTTGTAGTCTGCTGTACTGGCAGACGGAGCGTACACCTGCAACACAAACACAGACACACACAACGTCATTCAGGAATCCTCACTCTGATCAAAATACAACATGTTTTCATCACAAGTCTCACAGCCAAACACAAGGTGAGGCTCAGCAGGAGACGGCTTCACACACAAGTCATTTCCAGCAGGAATAAACAGATGATTGACACTTCACTCTTTAACTCGTGGTCTTTGTTTTTATTTTCAACCTGGAATAAATACAGCAGCTGCTCTGGGAACTCAGGAGTAACACGATCAGTTTTTAATTTATGCTCGGACAAGCTGGAAATTGTTGTATAGTTTACAAAAAAAGGTGATTTATGATTTATAAATATGTTATACATATTATGATGTATGTATTTGCCTTGGTAAAAATTAACTTGTTACCTAAAAAAAATTAAAAGCTTATTCATTATTTTATTCTTAAACAATTATTAACAATGAACTTAACTCATTTTATGATGCATACTGTAAAAATAAGGTATTTAAAAAAATAAAACAAGATTTATGTACATTTTATAGATAAATAAAGTGGAATCCAATCATATATTTTTAAAAAGTACATGTTTTAGATATTTGCTTTTTTTTCAAATCATTTTTTCTAATCATTTTGTAGGTTTTTCAACAGTTTGAAACAATGTTATTTAGGGACGTAAAGAACATTAGTTATTTTACATGTTGATCGATGATTTTGAATTTAATATTTGATTAAAGACTATTATCTGATACCTCCAAAACGAGTTGGGTTTATATTGTGTATACTGTACAGTATAGCCAATGTGTGTGTGTGTGTGTGTGTGTACACCTGCAACACAACTTAAATAATATCTAAACTAAACTTAGATAACCCTCATTTTTAAAGCACCAAATGACTTGATAACGGGTTGTTTTATCTCATTTTTTTTTTTTAAGTTAACTCTACCCTAAAGCTCAGCCAATACAAAAACTCAAAATTCACACTATAAAAAATACAACATGGCAACCACATCAATTGCATCTACATGATGCTGTCGTTTAAAAGTATGAGTGTTTGTGACCAAAAACATTTTTCCTAACATAAACTCAAGCCACACCACATATGCTTTCAGCCCTTCTTTCATTCAGACTAGTGTGATCCAGTGATTCTGTGTTCTCCTCTCAGAGGGCCGCAGTCATGCAGCAAACATGCAGCAGAACCAGCAGCCTGTCCTCCCTCCAAACAGGTGACGTTCTCCCTCACACAATGCCTGTGTTTGGTCATGCCTTCGACTGGGGGTCCCCACAGCATGCCTCTCTGTGTGTGTGTGTGTGTGTGTATGTGTGTGTGTGCATAGCGTGCGAACACTCAGCCATGACGCTAGCTTTGCGCCGCATGACGCAAACCCTGGAACAGCTGTTGAAAGCGCTCTCCTCTCCCTCAGTCTCCCCCACTGACTCACATCAAAATGAAAGCGCCGCCCCACAGCTACACCTAATCTGCCTCAAACCTCCCGAAAAGACACGGGTTGCTTTGTTAACTTAACAGTATTTGCATATGGATAGAACACAGATGTTGTAAAAGAGAATCTGATGGTAGAACACAGAGAGAAGAAATACTAGAAAAAGATGAAGAAAGAAAACAACAACACTTGGGGGCATTTAAAAAAACATTTCACTTCCCACACTCCCTGAGAGAAATTATTAAAAACAGAGAACAGCCTCAAACTGTTTCTGTCAAACAGAAAACCTCCTGACTTTTTCTCAGATCACTAAAAGCTTGTTTATCTGCTTCAGCTTTAACTTCTGAGGGGAAACATCTGATTTATTTTTCTGTAACTGTCCTTTTTATGTAATGGTAGAAGATGATGAGGGAACCATGAGACCATACAGAACAACTAAGAAGGGATATGAGACACTTGCAACTTTTTAAACTAAAAACAGTCAGTCATAGTTTCTTATATGTCGCAAATAGCTGAGAGTGAAAAGATATGAACATGGATGAATCATGGAGAGATATAAGCTGATTCACACGGGCTATATTTGCTTCCCTTAATGTGTTTTATTTTACAAGTTAATCAACTTTAACACACACACACACACACCTCTTGTTATTAGACAAGGATAACGGGATCAAATAGTAACAAGAATTTAAAAAACAGTGTTATAAAAAGGGGATACTGGGATTTCACTCATAACTCAACTTAACTGAATGTCCCTTAAACTCAACTTCATGTTTTAAATGCATCCCACAATATATCTTGAGTATTGTTCCAGCAATCTCAATGGCTTAAAAGCTTCTTATTCTATTTCTAACTACACCCATCATCCCAACAAAGTGTGTTCAGGTTCAGATGCTTTCTCTGCAATTAAATGCAAGACGGACTGCATAATGAATGAGAACTTGATGCTCAATGTACCCAACAGAGAGCTGCCTAAAAGTGTAACGTTATACAGTTAATGAATTGACGTAATGAAGTTAGATCCCTCCAGTGTGTGTTCAGTTGTGTTTCATAGCCAATTTGTTTACTTCCTGAAAAATACTGCTCGAGGAAAGACGCAGACACAGAGACAAATACCACAACAATCAGGACTTCTGAGGGGAGAGAAACACTGGGAACTGTGGGAATAAAAGACTGAGGTCAGGAAATACACACGCAAACACACACACACGCAAACACACACACACACGCTCACGCAAACTTGAAGACACACAAGTTAAATACAAAAATAAAGTGCTATAAGGAGTTAATGTTTTTGGGGATGCTGGCAATGCCCCACAATGCACCTTGCAGGAGTTATACGGATACAAATTATTCGGTCTCTGCACTTACACACACTCAGACACACACTCAGACACACACACACAGGGTCTGCAGATGTCATTAGAGCTAAGCTAATGTCAAACTTCCTCCTCCTCCTCCTCCTCCTCCTCATCCACTTCCCCTCTGAGAACTGAGTTTGTGTTCTGATGATAAAACCACATTTATTGACCCAGAGCCTACACAACAAAGTTCACACATACACACATTACGCATGCACACACACACACACACATTCTTGCGTTGACATTTATTTGATTTATATCTCATGTTGTGCACACATATTTTCCCATTGAATGCATTTTAAACTGGTGACGAAAGGCTGTGATTTGTGTGAGAGTGTGTGTGTGTCCGTGAGTGTGTGTATTAATGTGAGTGTGTGTGTGCGTGTTTGTGAGTGTTACAGACAGACAGGAACAGGTGCAGAGTGTGTTCAAGTCCGAGGAATGTAGAGACACAATAACAACTTCACTTCCTGCAGTATGTAACGCACACGCACAAACGCACACACGCACACACACACACACACACACACACACACACACACACACACACACACACACACACACACACACACACACACACACACACACAGTATCAGTTTCAGTATTCCCACTGTTACCAGGCGGACCTTCAGAGTCACCCTTGACAGTGTTGTCATTGACAACTAAAGAAACCATACAGTACACCACAAGAAAATAATGAGAACTTTGAGAAGTAAAATGTCCGATCAATAACCTTCGTGCTAGTATTTCCCAAACATTTCTAAGAATTGTGAGCCTTGCTTATGTCAAAAAGTGACTGGACATGAAGATAATCATTGCAGATTTTTTCAAATTAATTAGATTTCTACTTTGATGGAAACCAAACGGAAACAATTCAAACCAGGAGAGGAAATTAATCATAAAAAAACCAGCCTACCCACATCTGTGTGCCACTAAAGAGTCATAATAGAAACCAATCAAAGAGCAACAACAGAAACATCTGAAGCAGTTCTGTACAGTATAAAACTGCATTGAACCGGTTCTGTATGTAGTGATAGAAAAACTACAGAAACAAGTGAAATCGCTTCTGATACTGTAAGTGACAGATAATTTCGAAACAGCCAATATATCCAGGATTCCATTATATTCATCCAAAGCTACATCGTCATCAGTACATAGCCACTTGGTTGCCAGGTTTCAAACAAAATGTACCCCAAATTATGAGAAGATTGAAAAAAGAAAATGCTAAATGATTGCTTGTTCCCATCCGATACGGTTGATGTGATTAATATTCATGAAGATACGCAGCACGTAGCAGCATTCCTCCAGTTGGAAACACTTCATAATGTTGCAGAAGAAGAGCGTGCAAAACAATAATTTAAAGAGACAACAAGAAACTCGGTCAAAAAAGTAGAAAACATGATGAAAATATAACATTTGTGTTTGCTTGATAATCTGAGCAAGGTAACATCTGACCTTGGTGAGGAATGAGGAAGTAACGTTCGTCATTGCACGTTGAAGTCACTTACGTAATCATTTATTTACTAAATCTGTTTCCATCCACTCTTTTTTTCCAAGTTTTTCCAAGTTTTCCACCACAGCAAAGCTTCAAAACGTAATTGCGCCACCATTGGGACCTTGTTGTGTAAAAACTATGATCAGAACCAGAACAATGACAGATCGTCCTAATGGGATCCATGGAGCCTCGTCCCTGACAGGATCCAGTGGAAGTGGTTGTGTAACCTCCCGCTGCGTGGTGACGGATCGGGAGAAACATCACAGATTCCTTCAAAGAATCGCCCCCCGGCAACAAGGCGAGAATATTAAGGCACATTCCTCTGAAAACTGATTCCTCATGGAGTTAACCAAACACATCGAAGCACAGAACGTTTTCTGAGCAAGCAGCTGTGCAACTCTCTGACCTGACCCACAGGTACACACACAGAAACAGCAGCTCAACTTTAATTAGAGAACGTTAGCGTACTGTACGGATACATCCCAATTCTACACTCTTTATACCCAAAAGAAAATTACCATCATGGGAGAGCGATACTACATTGCCTTCAAACTGCTTATTTTGTATGATTGACAGTCACGAAACCCAAAACAAAAGCGGCAACAAATAGAGAAACCGTAAAAAACAAGTGAGGAAAAAACAAGCTAAAGTGCTGAATCATGACTTTGGAGGTTTGAGAGTCAACATTAAAAAAAGAAGAGAGAAAAGCAACAAACAAACTTAATT